GGGGGGTGTTGGGGGGGCGGTGATTGGCTGAATGGATATAGGTGGATCTTGATTGGTTAGATTGGAGATGGTGGTGTTCCTAGTACAGTGTGTGTGGCACTGCCTCTCTCTCTCTGTCTGGCTCCAGCGGAAAGACACGCTAGGTGAATGTCTGTTAAAGAAGAGAAGGGGGCGGGGCTTGCTAGGGAATTTTGCTGATTGACACAGTGAAATTAGGGCACAGGGAAAACATCAGTATCGGGGAGGGCAGGTATTCAAATCCAGAGAAGCTAAAAAGCTACGTTCCCTTGGTGTAAAGCTTTTAAATTTACAGTGTATAAAGGACGAGGCAAATCAAAATGGTGGAAAAATTAGCGTAAATCCAAGCGTCTTTCCTTTTCCTAAACATCTCTCGTCATTTTAATGCTTGCCTCCCAGCATTTACTGAAATATGTAGCTATAAAAAGCATGTGGTCATGCGCTTCAGTGGTAGCAGAGGCAGGAGGGATTCGGTTACACTTAGCTCCCTCTTGTGGTCAGAGATGGCATTAAACTCTCTGGCTTTGCCCTCCACTGCCCTGGGATTGAGGGGAAGGGGGTGATGAGACCTAAGGGCAGATCCACTCACTGCAGACCTAGAAACAGCTTCTCTCTAGCTCACTGGCCGTCTGAAAGCAGCAGGGGCTGCTGGGAGATCTGCAGTCAGGGGAAGTCCAGCACTCTCAGTAGTGGGAGTGCGTGGTGCTCTGCATTAGCTGCCTCATACTTACTGTGAAGATGTTGGAGCGCCGTTTGGACTGCTTGCGGATGGGCGTGGGAGTGTTGGAGGCGGCCACCGTCTCGATGCGCATTTCCCTCTGGCTTATGCTGGGGGTGGAGGGAACGGAGGACGAGTAATCGTTGAACGCGCCTCCTCCATTAGCAGCCTGAAACAAACGGAGAGGGAATGGGGAGAGAGGGATAGATAGATAGATAGATAGATAGATAGATAGATTTTGGGGAAAGCAATTAAGAATAGGAAAGGAGCAAGAGAGATAAAGTGAACACAAAATTATCAGCATGATTTTCTGGATTTTGACAGGCAGCCCACTTAATATGGTTTATTATATTTCATAAAGGCCTATTCTTCCATCCCGATTCTCATGTTTGTACTATGTATATAAATATGGTGATATGAAAGCACATTTGAGTGTGCACTAAGTCTTGATGCTTTGTTGCATACTATGAGTGTTTGTTAGTACCATGATAAACCTTTTATTGCATTAAATATCATAGCTACTACAATTATTGTTCCTGTTGTAAAACTATAATAAACATTTCTGTTATTTTATTTTATTTATTTGTGATGACAGTTTTTTTTAAAGGGGTCCTATTATGTTCTTTTACAAAGTCTTGATTTTGCTTGGGGGTGTACTAGAACAGGCTCTCATACTAGGTTGTTTGAAAAACACATTATTTTTCACAAATTTCACATTATTACAACACCTCTCTCCCCAGTCTGACATGAACGGCTCGAATAGTTCCTGAATCAAATGAACACGCCCCTTACCATAGTCGCCTGCGAGCTTCAGTGAAAATATTGCGACAAAATCAAATCAATTTGAGCGCGATTTAAACCCGGATGATTGTAACCACTCTAAGTTCGTCTGCTTTGGGAAAGCTAGCGTGTCTCCGACATTGTGATAACACTCGTTGCCTTCTCTAGTGCAGAATCTAGTGCAAATCCCAGAAAATATGCGTTGTAGTCCAAGCGAGTCGTTCGTTGTAGTTTTTGAAAAGTGATTTCTGTTCAATAAAATATCTCCTTTTGAAGTGGACATTGAGCTTTGTAACTTTGCAGATCTTTTTTATGCTCAAACAGCAACATTACAGACTAACTAAAGTTGAAAAAGTGAAAAAGCATAATAGGACCCCTTTAAGTAAAAATAACTGTTTTGGTGGAAAATATGGTTACATTTTCAGAATTGAAATATCAATATACAGGTTTTGGCTGAGTGAGGCTGATCCTAGATCAGCACAAACACCCCAGACTCACCTGATTGATGTGTACAGAGGGGATGGACGCGGCCGGGACCGACGAGTGGCTGGGAGAGTTGGGCAAAGATTTACACGGACCAATCGAAAGCTGCTGTTTTTTCCTCAGCGCCACCACTTTCTGAGCAACTGCAATCACACATCAGAAATATTACAACTATGAAATCCACGCATTAAAAAGATTAAAAGTGACAGTAAAGACATTTATAACGTTACAAAAGATTTCAGTTTCAAACAAATGCTGTTCTTTTGAACTTTCTATTCATCAAAGAACCCTGAATGTATCATGGTTTCTTTAAAAAAAAAAAAAAAAATAACTCACAAGAAATTACATTTTAAAATATATTCAAATAGAAATAGAATATTTCACAATTTTACTGTATTTCTAGACTTTTGAACTATAGTGTAAAGTATGCAAGTATCTCTTGTACACTGAATTAAAAAAAAATTATGAACTGTATATATTAGTTTGACTTAAAAATATCAAATTGAATTAAAAAATAATAAATTAAAATATTTAAAAATATATTTTTTTTAAATATAAAAAACTATTATAAAAAATGTTTATAAGCATTATAAAAATAAATGCAATTTAACATGTTTCGCACAGCTTGTCTAGATACTAGCAGTTTTGTTGTTTTAGTCCTGCATATAACCAACTACAGTATATGCATATGGGAACAATTAATAATTTAGCTGTCTATTAATAACCTATAACGTCTCAAAGCCACCGATTTGCAGTAAATGTGACTACAAGCATAAATAAGACTACAAATTAATTTATTTGCAAACATAATTCATAAAGGGCGATACATTTACATTCAGTGCTTATTATTATGGTAGGGAGTTGTTCATTACTTATGTACAGTATGTTACAATTTTTAAGTTCTAATTCGATTGTAATGATGCACATAAGGTTTCTTCCACAGCTGTGTTTTCGTGCAGATTTACTGCATAAAACTGGAAACCCTGGAGACTTGCAGTGTGCCTACAGCCATTTAACAAGTGACTCAACATTATTCACTTTTACTTTTCGCAAAAACAAAGAAAGAAAGAAACTAAGAGGAAGACTAAACGAAAGAACCAGCAAAGTCGAGATGATGTTGATCCGTCTGCGTTTTCAAAGAGTCGAATGGCTCACCGTCTCCAGATAACAAGCGCATCTCTGTCTTTTAATTATTTCGAATGCAGCCCGAGGAGGCAATTACACGCAGGAGAAAACAGCAACCGTCAACACCCTGGCAATAAAGGCAGGGACGAGAGAAATCCATCCTGACAACTATGATATTGGACAGCGCGGCGGAACCTGCAACACTGCGGAGCAATAAAGCTGCTGGAATTATCACAGCCCCTGCAACCGCGGGAGGAAGTCTCACACGGATATATAGAGCAGCGATACCAGATTACTGTGCGGCTGCTTGATGAATACTTATGTAATATGTATTTCTAGGTGCTGTGAAACCACTCTACCTTGAGCAGGCGGCTAGAGGGACACAAAAGAGATGTGTGGGCAGATTTCTGTAGCTTACTCTGCGATACATTCATGCCACATGACGACAGTGGGCGGAAGAGAGTGCTATCAGTGAACTCAAGAGTGCCACTGATATTCCAGCTGGTTTTCGGGATTGTTCATGAATGCACTAACCACTACCGGCGTAAAAACACGCTGAAAAAACACAGCTCTTTGTTAGATGAGGAGATAAAAGCAGGATCCAGAGCAAAGACAGAACTATGGATGATGATGCATTCAGAACGTCTCACAACCATCCTTAAAATCTGCGGTATGTTCATAATATAATGCAATAAACTAATAATATAATAATAAAACTTGGTTCTCGCAAGACTAGCATATTACGCTACGCCTACGTCATCTGCTGGAACGCCACTCTCTCGTGAGCCCGCGTACAACAGTTAGCGGAAGCTAGAGATTACGGTTTATAAAGTTTTAAATATGGATCATTTTCTTGATCTTGATTTTCTACACATCGATTCACTTCAGAAGGCCTTTATTAACCCCCCGGAGCCGTGTTGCAAACCAGGTTAGTAAACTCACACCCGAGGATAAATACTTGGCATTAACACCTAAAGTAGCGTTCAGAGACACTGGTTATCACATCAGGCATCTCACCATCTTGAAAGACTCTCTCCACGTTAAGACCATAGGTGGAGCAGGTTTCGTAATACGTGGAGCGTTTCAGGTCGTTGGACAGTTTCCGAGCCCGGGCGTCATCTATCACTCTTGGGTTGGCAGCGCTGATGGCATCTAGAAATCATAAGATGGCATAAGACACGGCATATTCATTTTTGGGTGTACTATTCCTTTAAACTAGCTCTTCGGCACACATAATGACAGTACAGCATCTACATGTTCATAATTGTTAATTTTGAGTCTCATCAAAGTGCAATTTGCAAACAAGTACTGGGTGAATGAGTAAGAAAGAGTCTTTTTATCCTGCAGCTTTGTTAAAGCAAGACGAATGTACTATTTCGTCACCTTTAGACGATGACTAAGTGCGAGACTTCCATGGCGCATTTAATAAAAACAAGTGCACATCATATTTTGTGTATCCCGTGTTCTACTGTAGAAGAATAATAAGAGTCAGTGATGGTGTTATGACTCACCCTGCGTCCCCACCAGCACCATGGGAACCTCTGCCGTGTTCCTGTAGCTGGAAAGACGCAGGAAGTAGTTATAAACTGTCTGGAAGCTGATCTCATCCTCCAAGCTGAAGACGAACACCACCGCGTCCACCCAGGCAGCAAACTGAAATACGCCAACAAAATCTTATCAATCCAACCATCTCTAAATAACATCTTTTGATTTAGCGATCAGATTTTGCTTTTTTTCACATGAAAATATATTATAATATAATGTATTAATATTTTGAATCAGTTTTTATTTTTTTACTTTCCATTTTCATTGTAATTTTAGATGCAGTTATAGTTATTTTGTTGTTTGTTTTGTGTATTTATTAATAAAAATTAAATAATTAATCAAATTTGGGGTCGGTAGGTTTGTTATTTTGAAAGAAATTAGAGGTCGACCGATAGTGGATTTTACCGATACCGATAGCTAGGTTGGACCTCAGGATTTCCTTTTGAGTTTGAAGTTTCCCGCTCTGTGCAGCGCGCAGTGTCACGTGTCAAAACAAACAACAGGTGCTGTTACTGATTTCCGCCTCTAGAGGCTGCTCTCCTACTGTATAATGGCAGCGGACCCTTCTCGGCCACTCCAGCAACAGATGCAACCCGGAAAACTATCGGCATTGATTTTTGCCGATAACCGATAGTTCCGCCAATCAACTATCGGTGCCGATTGGTATCGATACCGATACCTTGACTTTGATACCGGCTCCTGAACGATACTTTTTTCGATACCAATTTTATGAAATCAATTTTAACAAGATTACAT